TGGGTGGGCTTCGTGGGGCCCTGGGAACTGAGAGACCCCCTGGGGAGCACCTGGGCCGATTCTCTGCTGTCTCCCAATAAGCGCTGGCTGGTTCGAGCAGCAGCAGTTAGAGGTCTATGAACAGTTCCTTACAAGTAAGTTTGAAGGTGGCTAAATTCTCAGGGGATAAACACGTGTGTGTGTGTGCATCACGTTACCCAGACCTAGACTCTTTGGGGAGCAAAGGGGGCATTATTAATAGTTATGAGGGGACCGTTGAGGCAAACAAGGATCCAGGTGCTGGATCATCCCAGTAATAAAGACCCCGGAGAGAAGCAAGGAGAAGGTGTCCGTACCTACCTCACTCTCCCAAGTTCTCTCTCTCAGCTTTGTGAGTTGAGAACTTGCAGGGGGCGTTTGAGGGCGGAGTCTTTTCCTTCTTTTATCCAACTACCCTGCAGCAGGAATGGCCAGGTATTTTCCCAGAGGGCTGGAAAGTGACTTTGTTCACTTATTCACTCCTAGCACTTCGAGTCGTCCTAAGTAGCTTTTACGCTAATACCACGCCCACTACCTGGCAATACCGGCTCGTTTTGACACGTGCTTTCCTTGACATGGGCGACGAGGGAGCTGGACATCGAAGGCCAGTCGGGCCCACTGCGTGGTGGACATCGCGGGGGCCCCACCGAAGCCGTGCGTCAGAGCTCGTGCCCGCTCCACGCGGTGAGCACGGCCCGCGCCCCAGCGGAGCTTAGCTCGGCTCCGGGAGGGGCACCTCCAGCGGATTCTCACCCACCCTTCTCCGGGCCAGGAGGCGAGATGGAAATGACCCAGGGATTTCCTGGGTCACAGGGTCCAGTTTGCTGTACCGACATGAAAATTGGGGATTTTCACATTTAAAAAAAGACAAATTTCAGACAAAGATTTACTTTAAAAAAAAAAAAGCTCGGGCAACACCACCAGGCCCGTCCGGTAGAGGAGGGGGCGGGGAAGAGGGGGAGAAGCAGACACCCAGGACCGCGGACGAGAGCGCCGTGGGAGTCAGTGCAGCGGAGGCGTCTCCACGCGGCCAGGCCGGGTCTGCACGCCACGGCTGCTGCCACGACGTTAACACCATGCCTGGTGCTTGTGGAGGAGGGACACTGGAATTCCACTGGACACCCGTGTACCAGACAGTGCGCGGCGTCGGACAGGGATGGACTGGAATGAGGGAGCGCAGCACAACGTGGGATCAGGCCTCAGAAGGAGTATCTGCTTAAAGAGACAGGGCCGTGGTAAGGGCAGGTCGTGTTTGGGGAGCAAGCGAGGGGCTACAGCAAAGAATGAGTGCCCCAGAGTGTGAGGGCCTCGTCATGGCAACATCCCAGAGGAAGTCAGGGACCGGCAGAGAACGACGGGGTGGTGGTGGGTGTCGGGGTCACGGCCCCGTCCCGCACCCCAAGGTCACGGTCAGCATCAGCAGGCACGGGTGGACCCCCTTCCAGAGGGCGCCCTCCGGAGCGAAGGCTGCATCTGAGTGCTTTTCAAGGACCCACAGAAAGCCGTGCTTTAGTAATATGCTTGCCTTGTCAAAAAAGTAAACTAATACTTTTGAGCAATTATGAATTAGTAGGAAAAACCATCAGTTCACTACATACTTCTATAAACTTTATAAAAATACGACAGAAGGACCAAGCATAAAGGGGTGTTTACAGACACCCGGAGAACCTCTGCGAGGTGACTGTTCACTGCGGAGAGCAGCTGAGACAGTCACCTCTCCACATGCTGCATCCCGTCTCCAGAGCTGAGTCAGTAATAAAATCACACGTCGCAGGCTCTCACATTTATGTAAGATTATTCTTACAAGCATTTTAGTAAAGTTCTGTGTAAATTCAAATAAGAACAATTGTTTATATAATGAATTATATGAGGGAAACTTTTAACAACAAATGCAAGACATCAAGAATATATTTTTTTGGTTTATTAAAACAAAACTACAATTCTGTCTTCTTACATTAACAGGCATAAAAATCAATTAATGTTTCCAAATAAGTCTTGCTCACAAAATCACACAGTGTTATTTCACAGTCAGAGTAATTCTTTTTACAATTTAATATTTCTTTGTACAATAGGCAAATAGTTTAACACCTTCCCTCAAGGCATTTCTGAGCTTTAGGTGTTTAGAAATAAAGTCAAGTCTCTTTCCAATGCAATCATTAGTTTGTATTAAACTAAAATGCCAGATGCCAAGTCTCAAGTTCCTAAAAAGAATGTTTTAAAAAACAGATTTACATCCAAATTAAGTCTTATAAACTTCAGTAATAGGTCCTGTCCCTTCTAAACACTAAAACTATTTGGATAAAAATCTACATTCAATTGTGCAATTTTTTTTTTCTAAATCTGAATGAAAATCTTAATTATTTACCCCAGTTAATCTTTATGTTAATTTTGCTACTTTCAGCGAAAAAGCCAGGATCACTGATGGCTGATCTTCCCATCAAAGGACAGGACCTGGCCTCCTGTGTTAGTTTTCTGTGCTCAGTCTCTAGGGGAAGACGTGTACACCATGAAGTGTAGCGTCTGACTGTACAGAATTCATGCAAACTCGCCTCGGTGCTGTCTGCTGGTTACTGTTTCATCCCCGTAAAGAACTACCTACCCTCATGTTTCCCGAGGGAAACCAGTCAGAGGCTCCCAGATGTCCTGACGGGGGAAAGGTCCTGGGGTCACAAGTTTGGAAATGCTGGATAAACAGGCTTAGTCCCGGACCCTGAGCCCTTCCTGTGCTGAAGCGGTTTCCAGGGAAGAGATCCCCATCCACATTCTCTCGTAGTGACACTTTCTGCTACAGAACAGGTAGGGACCTCAGAGCCCTCAGGGCAGGTTGCAGGAGAACCGTGGGCCAGGCTGGGGGGGCACCGCTGAGCGCACTCACCTTCGGGTGATTCCCCACGTGTTTTCTCCCCTCACTTAGAAGGAAGGCTCATGGTATTTCTGCTGCTAGTCCTACACATTCCACACCAGTTCTTTCCCTTTACTTTTCTTAAAATTTAAGAGATCACAAATTCCTTCCCTTCCTCTGGATTACTTAGGACGTTCTCATTTTGAAAGCCTACGGTTACACATTGTTTATCGTTGGGGGTTTTTTTGTTGATTTTTAACTTGACTCACAGTCCTTCCCTGGGGGGCAAGTGTTTCGGTTCCAGAGTAAACTGTAATAACTTATTTACAAGCACCTAGTTTGTTTGATCGTACATGAAGCCATTCGTTTTTGGAAAACAATGAGAATAACCCTTTCAAGCAGAACTGCCGTGAGGCCTGCGGCGACGGCGCATGCGTTCCGTCCCGGCAAAGAGGCACTGAAGAATGCGCTGAAATTAGCTCAAAGGTCCGCTTGTCTGGATGAGCATGACTTTGGTTGAGATTTTTCTTCCTTAGAAAAGGTTTTCAAAGCACCAGATAATTACAAAAAAGCATGCATGTTTACTCTCACAGTGAGCGAGGTGGGGGAGAGCTAGTGTCATACATCGCATTCCCCGAGGCAGCCGACTGGATTCTTAGGGAACAGTGCAGCCGAACGGGCAGTAAGGCCTGAGAAGCCCCGGCTCTGCTCAGGCCGGGGCGGCGTGGCTCCAGCGGACGGCACAGGCAGGGCAGCAGCATCGCCAGGAAGTCAGGGCCGACCTCGATGTCCCAGATAACCAAGGGACAGTCTGAGTCACCCTGACCTTTAATTTAGGGGATGAATAGAAGAGACAGTGAAGGGTCTGCTGGCCTAGGTAGGGAACACCCAAGGGGATCAATAAGCCTCCTGCGTACTCCCCCAAGAGCGGAGCTCCGGGCTAGTGAATGGAAGCCCGAGGCGAAGGCCCGCTCCACACCGGAGCCGCTGCAACCTGGCTTAGTGGCGCCCGAGTCCTGTCAAGGAAGAACTGCCCCTAACGGGGAGCCGGAGAACAGTGCCGGTCACAGGAGCACAGCCTCATCGCTGCGAGTTCAAGGAGACATTTCATACGAAATGAAGTACCAGCCGGTGAGTACCCTTCCCTCTCCCAACACACACTGAAGAGTCATGAGATATGATTAGTGTTTAAAATACAAGCCTAGGAAAGTACAAACTTCATTCCCAGTACTTTCTATCAAATGCAAAGACTATATCAATATTCATTAGGAAAAGTTCCTCATTCCATATTCCTATGGATAGAAGGAACAATGTGCTAGCAGAAAACATTTTAATGTCACATGATCTTTAAGAAATCACCACAATGACAGCCGACTGACACGTATGTCCCCAGCTCACAAAAGGCACCTGTCATGAACGAACACGTTTCCACGATGACTTGCCACTACGTGGCCTTGGGGTTGAGCATATAACCTGCTAAATTTTTAATGAAGCACGATTTTCCCTCCAAGCTAGAAGTCCACAAATGCCCCGACCACTTACTGGCCGGCCAGCAGCACCCCAAGGCCGCGCAGGGGACTCGGCACCCTGAGGGGTGTCCGCCCCCGGGCCGGGCTCGGCGCGCAGGCTGCGTGCGGTGCAGGGAGCCCGGGGCCAGCGGCCTGCAGCCAGGGCACTTTCTGCCAACAGCCTACCAGGCCGAGCCGAGCCGGCCAGGACGGCTGCTGCTCGGTTGGAGAAGCTCCAAAAACAGCTGGCCTGGAAGCAGGGGTGCCTGAGGGGCGGAAGGGTGCAGACACGAAACGGAAGTCATTCCTGAATACTTGCTGGTCACTGAGACTCTGTGGTACTTTCTATCTGAGCAAAAGTTTTCCAAGTCAGTTTTCTGGCCAAGTTCGCCTTGGATCTTGCCTGCCAAATGTACTTCTTGGTGTTAGATGTTTGATCATGTTCTCTCTGTCCCTGACCTCATCTAACACATTTTCATATAGCCCTAGAACACTTTCTCAATCTGACTGCACAGGACAGCCCAGGGGTACCCGGGTGCGAGGTGCGCCAGCCCATCCTTTCTGAAAGCGCTTTGGAATGAAAGGGGTTCCCATTTAAACTTTACCTTCTATTGACAAAGATAAAGCTGGGGTGGGGGTGGGGGGGCAGTAAATGGATGACTCGATTATTTTTAAAGGAAGATTAACAGTTAATCAGAAAATACACCAATGAGTTCCCGACAGCCTTACGTACACCACACAAGATTCAGTTCTAAAATACAACTACATTTTTCTGTCCTTCACAGTAATTAGTGCTTAACAATTATACTTAAAAGGTAAATCTTTAATAAACTCCAAAACCATTTTTGAGATCTCATTTTTAACCTACTGATCAGGAACTGCAAATCAACTTGCTGGCGGAGATGGGGACGCGCAAGGGGGTCAACAGGCCCCTGCGCGTCCCCGAGGGAGAGCCCCGGCTGGGGCGACGGGAGCTCCGAGGTGAGGCCCAGGTGCTATCTGGGCTGCTCCTCATCTCAGAGCAGGGTGATCACAGATCCACGGAGGGGAAGGCACTTGTCTTCAGGAGGTCACCTCAGGACAGGTCAGGCCTGGCACACGGGGCACCTTCCACTTTCGAGCCAGAGGCTGGAGCTCACAGGACTCACCCCAGGCCCTTCACCGGCCGGAGGGGCCGGGCGGTACCTACAGCACCACAAAGCTCAGAAGATACTCCAGGAGTCTCTGCCGGTTGCTCTGAGGTAGGAACGTGCTGCTGAGTTCTAGAACAGACACTCTCTTTTGTTTGGTCTCTTTGAAAACCTAGAGAGGACATTTAAATTAGACACAAAGGAAGGGACGTTTCTGTTACCAACCTGACCCGCATCCTAGCCCCCAGAAAGCAGGAAGGCGTGTGAGATCACATCCTGACTGTAAGTACACGCTCTGCACGGACACGAGGAGGTGCAGGCACGGGCGCAGGCGGGTGCTGCTCTCCGTGGGGCCAAGGGCACGGTCCTCTCACGTTAGTGAGCAGTCACATACAGTGCCTGACAAGGACCACGGCACCCCCACGCACTCATGCCCCACTGACCGTGAACGTAAAGGGCAGCTGAGGAAGCATCCAGCTGCTCTGGTAAAAGCACAGCACAGCCCGAATCGTAGGGCACAGTCAGCACCCCACCACCCTGCAGCAGCACCCTGAGACACATCGACACACTCTGCAGAGTTCTGGGAGGAACCAGCAAATTCTGGAACTTCCAAAAAAAATCTGTACTGACGAGCCTCACCTTTAACATGTCCCCCCGCCCCTGTCCCCAGAAACGCCTCCATGGTTAACCCAGCAGCAACTGCTTCCCTCAGGGCCCCCCACACACAGGTGGCTCAGACAGACTAGTTCTAAACAGAAAGTGGACATGCCCGGCCAGTGTGGCTCAGTGGTTGAGCGTCTGCCCCTGCACCAAGAGGTCACAGGTTCGATTCCTACTCAGGGCACATGCCCAGGTTGTGGGCCCGATCCCCAGCGGGAGGCATGCAGGAGGCGGCCAATCGATGTTCTCTCTCATCGATGTTCCTCTCTCTCTCTCTCCCTCCCCCTCTCTCTAAAATCAATAAAGGAAAGGAAAGAAAGAGGACGGAAGTTAACGCCACGTTCGCACCACGCGCAGCGGGCACTCACCCCAATGTCCTTGAACATTTTCACGGCGTTCTTCACGAGGCAGTAGGTGGCGCTCTCAGCTGTGGGGAGGAGTAAGAGCCTGTCAGGTGCCCAGGCCAGCAAAGCCCCAGCACCCACAGTGGGAAGGGGCAGAGGCCACAGAGAGGACTACAGCAAGTCGGCAGGCGGGTCAGGCTCCATTTCTGCTACTGGGGACCTGCCTGTGAGGTCTCAAATGATTTGCTGTTTCTCTTTTTCTTTCTTTTTTTTTTATCCTCAACCGAGGACATTTTTCCATTTTTTGTTCAGATAGAGTGGGACAGAGTGGGAGGGAGAGAGAGGGAGAGAGAAACATGGACGAGAAAGGGACACATCGAGTGGCTGCCACCCACACGACCCAACCAGGGTCGGGGACAAACTGCAACTGAGGTACACGCCCTTAGCAGGAACCAAACCCGGGTCTCTCCGGACCGCAGGCCAACACTCTAACTACTGAGCCAAACCGGCCAGGGAGGTTTGCTATTTTTTTAAACCTACTTTGTCATCTTTTAAGAAGAAAAAAGAGAGAGAAGGTGAGAAGAATAAGGAGAGAGAGAGGAAGGAAGGAAGGGAGGGAGGGAGGGAGGGAGGGAGGGAGGGAGGGAGGGAGGGAGGGAGGGAAGAAGGGAGGGAGGAGGAAAGTTAAGAAGAAACACCTAAGCTCCTGTCTTGAAGGGGTTTTGTGAGGCTCACATGAGACATGGGCAGAAATCCTCTTAAACTGCACAGATGATTCCCACAGCCGTGGAACCAGAAAGAGCACTGGCCTAGAGGTCAGAAGAGTTCTAACCCAGGTCTGCCCGTTAATTAGCTATGTGACAGGTGATTTCCTCATCTACAAAGCGAGATGACTCTATTTCTAGATATCGATCTAGATCAAATCTAAACATCTCTCTAGGTAGAGCTCTATCTCTAGATCCTTGTCTGTAAAACTTACTGATCCACAGCAGTTTCGGCCCTAAACCATAACTGGATAAAACGCGATCCCACCCCAACCACACCTCACACGGCAGACAGCTGCGTGCCGGCCGGGGTGTGGAGCCCGCCCCCTGAACAGACTCTGTGGTGGGAGTGCGCACTGCACCACCCAGGAAGCACCTGCAGGACCTACTAAAGCAGAAGGCACCACACCCTGTGACTAGACAATTCTGCTCCTGGACGTGCACCCAACATAATGCATGTGTTCGCCCACAGACACACTCAGACACGCATAGAGCAGAACTAATCACAGTGGCTCTGAACTGCAAACAACCCAAATATCCATCAACAGCAGAATGAATAAACAAAGTGCGGCAAATACACAGCGGACGACTACAAAGCAACAAGAATAAACAAATAACCGCATGCAACATGCGTGAGTCTCACAAAGGATGGGCCTGTGAGTGAGAGGTCAGGGTAATTTTGCAACTTTTTTCCCCAATTTTGTACAACTGGCAGGTGCCTGCAATCAAAACAGGGCAGCACTGTGAAGGGAGCCAGAGCAGTGCGCGCTCACCGTAGACGGCCACGCTCCGCTCCGTCCTGGTCAGGAGGTACCTGTGCAGCCGGTGCAGGTACTCCGGCTCCGGGACCGGGCCGCTGAACGTGTGCACAAAGACGGCCGCGGAGCTGTAGGCCTCCAGCAAAGGGCCCAGCAGCCTCTGCAGGAAGGTGATGAACTGCTGGTGCTCCTTGGACTGGCTCACCTGTGGGAGCGGAGACAAAGTCAGAGGAGGGACAGAAGAAGCGACACGCCGGCAGGGGCACCTCCCAGGAGCCAGTGGCACGAGAGGGTGGCTGTCACCGTCACTGCCCAGAGCGCCCGCTGCACCTGTGCGGAGCCCCTGTTGGAAATGACAGGGTCTGAAATGTGTTTTCTTGTAATCATTGACTTTTACAGTCCTCGAGGTTTGCGCTCATTGAGCAGCTGCCTAGAAGGGACGGTGGGACTTGAATGGCCTGATCGTGACACCCTGTCACCACTAAGCAGGTGGCCCGGGTTAGACTCCACAGCGGGGACGCCTGGCTCGACAGCCACTCCAGTGCACAAAAAGGTCACATGGCAAGACACGGATCATCGCAGGCCTCCCCAGCTCCCACTTCCTGTCACCTCCCGGGTCCTCCAGCCCAGGCCGGCAGAGGCAAGGTGACGGCGCTGGTGACGGTGAGGCTCCCACTGTGCCACCGGAACATGCGCACGCAGCTAAGTCCTCTGGGCTGTGGGAGCGAGATCGCGGCCCCATCTTGAAACAGACAAACTCAAAGTGGAAAAACTCATTGTCATTTGGAATCTCCAGAAGCTATAGCTATAGTCATACTTCCTAACGTGTGTGTGTGTGTGTGTGTGTGTGTGTGTAAGCCAGGAGTGGCATCCACTCTGTGTGTGTGTGTGTGTAAGCAGGAGTGCCATCCACTGTGTGTGTGTGTGTGTGTAAGCCAGGAGTGCCATCCACTGTGTGTGTGTGTGTGTGTAAGCAGGAGTGCCATCCACTGTGTGTGTGTGTAAGCCAGGAGTGCCATCCACTGTGTGTGTGTGTGTGTGTGTAAGCAGGAGTGCCATCCACTGTGTGTGTGTGTGTGTGTGTGTAAGCAGGAGTGCCATCCACTGTGTGTGTGTGTGTGTGTAAGCAGGAGTGCCATCCACTGTGTGTGTGTGTGTGTGTAAGCAGGAGTGCCATCCACTGTGTGTGTGTGTGTGTGTGTGTGTAAGCAGGAGTGCCATCCACTGTGTGTGTGTGTGTGTGTGTGTGTAAGCAGGAGTGCCATCCACTGTGTGTGTGTGTGTAAGCAGGAGTGCCATCCACTGTGTGTGTGTGTGTGTGTGTGTGTGTAAGCAGGAGTGCCATCCACTGTGTGTGTGTGTGTGTGTGTAAGCAGGAGTGCCATCCACTGCAGAAAAAGTTATCCACTTAGGGTATTTAGAAAAGATGGGTCATTATTACTAATCTCTAAACTTACAAATTACACAAAATTAATTTTTCTAAATCAGGGACAATCAAACTTTTAAAAATCCAAATTGTCATCCAGCCAGTGTGGCTCAGTGGTTGAGCATCGACCCATGCACCAAGAGGTCTCCGGTTCGATTCCCGGTCAGGGCAAACGCCCAGGTTGTGGGCCAGATCCCCAGTGGGGGGCATGCAGGAGCCGGCCAATTGATGTTCTCTCTCATCGATGTTTCTATCTCTCTCTCCCTCTCCCTTCCTCTCTCTCTCAAAATAAAGAAATAAGAAAAAAAAAAAGAATCTTGTCAAAAAAAAAAAAAATCCAAATTGTCTCCTGGGCTAGGATTTGTTTTTGCTGAAGGGGAAGAGCTGGATGTACAATCTGGAGACGGCAAGGCCGAGGATGACTCCGAAAGAGCAGCCAGGCCACCAGCAGCTGGAGCAGCTGGAGCAGCTGGGGGTCCCTCTCCACCGCTGCTGTGGCACCACCTTGCTCAGTGATGCTTGCGCACAAACCCCGCTCTCTAGGAGTGCGTGTGGGTATGGGCACAGGTCTGCACCTGTTCCTTCTGGTGGGAGGGTCATGGACAGAATCACCCAGGACACTCATCTTCCTTTTCCACTTAATTATACTCACACCGAACAGTTTAAGGTATTAATTCAACTCAAACAGCTTGAGTACCTTTACTCACTAGGGAAAAAGTACCTCAGTGGGTCTGTGGGTGCTTTAGCTATGAATAAGTCACCAGGGTCCCAGTTGATCAGAACCTCATTAACTAGCGGCCACATAAACCTCAGCTCGTCACTGAAACGTCCACCGGAATTCTTCACCAAAGTACCTTCAGGTAGCAATCTCGCTGCTCCTCACCGAAATCACTGTCTTCATCTTCTTCATCGCTTCTCCAAGACACGGGTCCAGGAAGCTTCTTGTCCCACTGCTGCTCAGCAAGACCAGGACTGATGTCTTCCTGATCATCTTGCTATGCAAGGAGACGAGCGACCGTCCACAGGCAGGCACAGGCACAGGGCACTGCCAGCCGGACCGCCACAGGCCCCCCCCCCCCCCCCCCGTCAGCCACGTGCACGTCAGTGCGCTTCCCCCTCCAGACCCAGGATCACTGGGGAGACAGGGAGGAAAGAGAGTGGGGGAGCTACCAGACATCACACCAAACATCCTCTCTCCTTCTAAGCTGCTGTCTCCTTTCTTGGGCCCCACCCGCTCTACTAAATTTACCAAAATTAAAACAACAATCTCCAAAAGGAAATGCGCATAAGTACAAGCTACAAGCGCACTGGGAGGTAAAACATCTCATCTTAGAACATCTCCCGCATCCGGAATCAAGTGCAGGTCTGTTTTAGACGGCGCAGTTGCGCAGAAGGAACCGAAGTATCACACAAGCCCACTCTGATCTTTCCCTCTTCATCTGGGTTCGACTACACAGCAAGTGTGATTACCAGGTGCGGTAGCTGGTTGGGGTAAGTTAGAACAGTCTGTAGCAAAGACAAGGAAACGAACAAGAAACGAAACAGGCGACAGAAGACAGCGCTTCCTCGTACCTCGGCCACTGTGAGGATGCCGTACTGGATGAACCTCCCCACTGTTTCGTGGCAAACCTGGTAAAACGTCTGGCAGGGCTGAAAAGAACAGACATTTAAATGTTAATGTCACGGTCTTTATACCTCGATTATCAAAACCAGAAAAGCACTGCACAAGGTAGCTGCCAAATACGTCCATGATGTAACCTACCGACTCCACTGGGCAAGTCCTAAGATTTCCAACGCCCACCCCCTGATAAACACACCTGGGCACGGGCAAAGCCACAGACCTCGTTCACTGGCTGGCAGAGCACCCAGTGTGGCACCGCCCTGCAAAGGGTGCTCCCCGGCTCAGTCTCCCCCACCCTCAGCGAAGCCAGCCCTCAGGAAGGCTGCTGGTCAGGCCCCCACCACCTGCTTCACTTTTTTAGGATGACTTCTCTGCAAAAGCCATCATGTGGTGGATATTGTACACAAAGGTGGAGGGTGAGGACACCCACTATTCAAGCAACTCAAAAAAGACCCAAGAAAAAGACGAAGCAATTCTGAGAGCCTATCTGTCCTCTCCCCTCCCACTCCGCCCCCCAAGATCGAAGCAAAACAGGTTTCCCAACAGGACCACCAATGTGCCACGTACAGGAGCACTGTGGAGGAGGGCTGTGCTCACGACACACGTACTCATGTCCCAGGCACACTCACTTGGGTGCAAGAAAATACTCGTCTTTAAATAAAAGATGAATTCCACTTGTTGATGTTTTTGAGAAAAAAATCTCTACTGCTTAACACGTATGCCTCGTTATAAACGTCTACAAGTGCTGGACGTAGCAAACACGCCCTCAGGGCTGCTGGGCCTCAGTTTCCCTGTTTGTAAAGTGGAAAAGGGTAGAGCAGATTTTTTTTTAAGATTTTTTTTTATTTTATCCTCACCCAAGGACATTTTTCCATTTTGGTTCAGATAGAGTGGGAGGGAGAGAAAGAGAGAGAGAAATATCGACGTGAAAGGGACACATCGAGTGGCTGCCACCCGCACAACCATCCAGGGCCGGGGACAAACTGCAACCAAGGTCCGTGCCCTTAGCGGGAACCGAACCCGGGTCTCTCTAGACCGCAGGCCGACGCTCTAACCGCTGAGCCAAACCGGCCAGGGCCAAATGATTTTTAAGACTGTTTCTGACTCTATCTTCCATGGTTCCAGCATCCACGGGCGAGTTGACTACTTACAAACCCCTGACCCAGAGCCTCGTGTGTAATGAGAGCTCGGCAGCCGTGGACAGACTGGTGCAGAACACTGCGCCATCTCCCAGCACCCCTCAGGCGCACGAAGGGGTCAGTGGGGCAGTGACCCAACCCCACACACCCGAGAGCAAACAACACATCCGTCTGGAAGTCACTGAGACAGGAGAAGAATGTAGAGCCTTGGTAACAGACCAAAAATTCTCTACGAGAAAAGCAAAGGTGGTTTATGTTTTCATACAAAGGTTCAAGAAAAAGAGAACAGGCAACACCAAAGACCTGCTACTTACGAGGGAGATGGTGCCTTCGTTGGACAGCAGGTAGCAGAGGCTGGCTGCCTTCCGCACCAGCTGCTCCTGGCTGATCAAGCTGGGGGGCCCTCCGGCAGTCCCGCCCGCGCCCCTCTTGTTCAGAACTGCGTAAAGGCTGCAGGCTGAGGAAATGAAAGCATCGATGAACACGGCAGCCTTCGAGCTCCAAGAAAAACTCGCCTGGCTCGGATAACTTGGATTACCTCAACAGACTGTTACGTCAAAGATAATGATCTGCACTGCGCTGGAGAGATTTAAGTAAACCCCTCAGTACTCACTTCGCAGGAAGCATGTGATCCCAACCCCACAGGGTGCCGTCCTCCGGGGCTTCGGCCCCCGCTCTCCTCCCTGCGCCCCCGATCACAGACGAGCCCCACCACTCAGAGCACTACTGGCGTCTGTCTCCTGTCACTCAGCTCCTCAGCTCCCCAGCTCCCCCTCCCTAGTCATAACTGTGAAACCACGCAGCAATCCAGGAACACTAGTTGCATAACAGATGTCAAGGGAAGCTGTAAACACTGATAGAGCAGATTATATTTTATCTGAAGGCTAAGAGTATAGCAGCACATTCCCTCAGGAAAGGGGCCGCCATCCCAACGAACACAGTCAGGCTATGTGCTTTGGGTCCTTGTGTTTCCGTGAAAACATTCCAGGACCCCACCTACCTACGATGGCCTCCGGGATAAAGACGTGCAGGACCCTCCTACCTACGATGGCCTCCGGGATAAAGACGTGCAGGACCCTCCTACCTATGATGGCCTCCGGGATAAAGACGTGCAGGACCCTCCTACCTACGATGGCCTCCGGGATAAAGACGTGCAGGACCCTCCTACCTACGATGGCCTCCGGGATAAAGACGTGCAGGACCCTCCTACCTACGATGGCCTACGATGGCCTCCAGGATAAAGACGTGCAGGACCCTCCCACCTACGATGGCCTCCAGGATAAAGACGTGCAGGACCCTCCTACCTATGATGGTCTCCGGGATAAAGACGTGCAGGACCCTCCTACCTATGATGGCCTCCAGGATAAAGACGTGCAGGACCCTCCTACCTATGATGGCCTCCAGGATAAAGACGTGCAGGACCCTCCTACCTATGATGGCCTCCAGGATAAAGACGTGCAGGACCCTCCTACCTATGATGGCCTCCAGGATAAAGACGTGAAGGACCCTCCTACCTATGATGGCCTCCAGGATAAGACGTGCAGGACCCTCCTACCTATGATGGCCTCCGGGATAAAGACGTGCAGGACCCTCCTACCTATGATGGCCTCCGGGATAAAGACGTGCAGGACCCTCCTACCTATGATGGCCTCCATGATAAAGACGTGCAGGACCCTCCTACCTATGATGGCCTCCAGGATAAAGACGTGCAGGACCCTCCTACCTATGATGGCCTCCGGGACAAAGACGTGCAGGACCCTCCTACCTATGATGGCCTCCGGGATAAAGACGTGCAGGACCCTCCCACCTACGATGGCTCCAGGATAAAGACGTGCAGGACCCTCCTACCTATGATGGCCTCCATGATAAAGACGTGCAGGACCCTCCTACCTATGATGGCCTCCAGGATAAAGACGTGCAGGACCCTCCTACCTATGATGGCCTCCAGGATAAAGACGTGCAGGACCCTCCTACCTACGATGGCCTCCATGATAAAGACGTGCAGGACCCTCCTACCTATGATGGCCTCCAGGATAAAGACGTGCAGGACCCTCCTACCTACGATGGCCTCCATGATAAAGACGTGCAGGACCCTCCTACCTATGATGGCCTCCAGGATAAAGACGTGCAGGACCCTCCTACCTACGATGGCCTCCATGATAAAGACGTGCAGGACCCTCCTACCTATGATGGCCTCCATGATAAAGACGTGCAGGACCCTCCTACCTATGATGGCCTCCAGGATAAAGACGTGCAGGACCCTCCTACCTACGATGGCCTCCATGATAAAGACGTGCAGGACCCTCCTACCTATGATGGCCTCCAGGATAAAGACGTGCAGGACCCTCCTACCTATGATGGCCTCCAGGATAAAGACGTGCAGGACCCTCCTACCTATGATGGCCTCCAGGATAAAGACGTGCAGGACCCTCCTACCTATGATGGCCTCCAGGATAAAGACGTGCAGGACCCTCCTACCTATGATGGCCTCCAGGATAAAGACGTGCAGGACCCTCCTACCTATGATGGCCTCCAGGATAAAGACGTGCAGGACCCTCCTACCTATGATGGCCTCCAGGATAAAGACGTGCAGGACCCTCCTACCTATGATGGCCTCCGGGATAAAGACATGCAGGACCCTCCTACCTATGATGGCCTCCGGGATAAAGACGTGCAGGACCCTCCTACCTATGATGGCCTCCATGATAAAGACGTGCAGGACCCTCCTACCTATGATGGCCTCCAGGATAAAGACGTGCAGGACCCTCCTACCTATGATGGCCTCCAGGACAAAGACGTGCAGGACCCTCCTACCTATGATGGCCTCCAGGATAAAGACGTGCAGGACCCTCCTACCTATGATGGCCTCCAGGATAAAGACGTGCAGGACCCTCCTACCTATGATGGCCTCCATGATAAAGACGTGCAGGACCCTCCTACCTATGATGGCCTCCATGATAAAGACGTGCAGGACCCTCCTACCTATGATGGCCTCCAGGATAAAGACGTGCAGGACCCTCCTACCTACGATGGCCTCCATGATAAAGACGTGCAGGACCCTCCTACCTATGATGGCCTCCAGGATAAAGACGTGCAGGACCCTCCTACCTACGATGGCCTCCATGATAAAGACGTGCAGGACCCTCCTACCTATGATGGCCTCCAGGATAAAGACGTGCAGGACCCTCCTACCTACGATGGCCTCCATGATAAAGACGTGCAGGACCCTCCTACCTATGATGGCCTCCATGATAAAGACGTGCAGGACCCTCCTACCTATGATGGCCTCCAGGATAAAGACGTGCAGGACCCTCCTACCTATGATGGCCTCCATGATAAAGACGTGCAGGACCCTCCTACCTATGATGGCCTCCAGGATAAAGACGTGCAGGACCCTCCTACCTATGATGGCCTCCAGGATAAAGACGTGCAGGACCCTCCTACCTACGATGGCCTCCATGATAAAGACGTGCAGGACCCTCCTACCTATGATGGCCTCCATGATAAAGACGTGCAGGACCCTCCTACCTATGATGGCCTCCAGGACAAAGACGTGCAGGACCCTCCTACCTATGATGGCCTCCAGGATAAAGACGTGCAGGACCCTCCTACCTATGATGGCCTCCAGGATAAAGACGTGCAGGACCCTCCTACCTACGATGGCCTCCATGATAAAGACGTGCAGGACCCTCCTACCTATGATGGCCTCCAGGACAAAGACGTGCAGGACCCTCCTACCTATGATGGCCTCCAGGACAAAGACGTGCAGGACCCTCCTACCTATGATGGCCTCCATGATAAAGACGTGCAGGACCCTCCTACCTATGATGGCCTCCAGGACAAAGACGTGCAGGACCCTCCTACCTACGATGGCCTCCATGATAAAGACGTGCAGGACCCTCCTACCTATGATGGCCTCCAGGATAAAGACATGCAGGACCCTCCTACCTATGATAGCCTCCATGATAAAGACGTGCAGGACCCCGTTGCTGTAGAAGTTAAGCTCGAAGACCGAGGGGATAGTTGTGCTGGGAGTGATGAAAAACTCATCATTCCTGCTGGTGTGGGTGACCGTGACGCAGTTTCCCAGCAGCTGTACGGCATGTATGACCACATCTTCTGAATTTCCCGAGAACCCCAAGTCAAAATCCCGGGCCAGGACTTCCTCCTTCATCACAAAGAAGTCTTCCACCAATGTGGAGAGATCAATTCCCTAGAGAAACAGACACCAATGCTCTCAGGACAGCAGAAAATTGCTTCCCAAAGAGCTGAGAGGCCGTTCCAAGGGTTTTCTTTCTGGCCTTGGCTTTCCTGCAGCTCCCCGTCAGCACACAGAGACAAGGGCCGCAACACCCGCCAGCACACAGAGACAAGGGCCGCAACACCCGCCAGCACACAGAGACAAGGGCCGCAACACCCGCCAGCACACAGAGACAGGGCCGCAACACCCGCCAGCACACAGAGACAAGGGCCGCAACACCCGCCAGCACACAGAGACAAGGGCCGCAACACCCGCCAGCACACAGAGACAAGGGCCGCAACACCGCCAGCACACAGAGACAAGGGCCGCAACACCCGCCAGCACACAGAGACAAGGGCCGCAACACCCGTCAGCACACAGAGACAAGGGCCGCAACACCCGTCAGCACACAGAGACAAGGGCCGCAACACCCGCCAGCACACAGAGACAAGGGCCACAACACCCGTTAAAAAGCAAAAACACCCAATTAAAAAGCCGGTCCTGCAGAAGGTCAAGAAATTGCTATTCTGCAGAGTGTCAAGAAATTGCTATTCCACATCCAGAGAGCACTAGCCACGCACAAGTGAGCACTAGGATCACAAAGGGGCCCTGGCCAGTTTGGCTCAGCGGTTAGAGCATTAGCCCCTGGACCAAAGAGCCGTGGGTTCGATTTCAGTCAAGGGCACGTACCTCGGATGAGGTTCAGTACCGGGCCCTGGTCGGGGTCTTGCGGGAGGCAACCAACTGATGTGTCTCTCTCACATCGATGTTTCTCTCTTTCTCTCTCTATCTACCCCTCCCTCCCACACAATCTAAAAATAAATGGAAAAATATTCTAGGGTGAGGGTTTAAAAGAAAAAAGATCACAAAGAAAAGAAGCCACCATCTGAAAGTAAGATGTGCTTATTTTTAGCAAGAGTTTCCCTCACAGTAAATACATATATGACAAATATTTATTGGGTGCCTGTAGATACTGGCACTATGATTGGTGTTGAGAACATGGCCCATCACAGCACAAGTGCATTGTGGGAGGGTGGAACGTGGTCCTAAATGCAAGTTGAATGGCTGAGAAACCATTAGCTACCTGCATGTCAATTAAAATATGTCTTATTTACATGAACTATATCACTCAAAGAACGTCCTACTAATATATATGTAGCTGTCTCTGAGTCATCTTCATGTAGATTTCTTCATCGGGTGTATAGCTCCCATGCGCAGGGTCCTCGGCTGACATCACTATTACCTCACAGTACCAGCAGGAGTGGCCCAAACCTACCAGCACGCCAGCAGGAGAGCGCCAGCATTCCCACGCCCCCCCCCCGGCACACGACATACCTGCCTGTGTCTGTAGAGCAGCAGGCAGGCCACGATGTGCGTCGACATGATGGCACAGGACTTGCTGGCAGCTGCAAGGTGAACACAAAGCTTCAGTTTCACTTTTTAAAAATACATAACTGAAACTTGTTGAAGTACCTAAATATAAATAGGAGTATGTAAAATTATAGAACTCCTCTACCACATTTCCCACAGAGGTGACTTATCAAAAGGAAGTTACAACATGATACCACGTCCTGGGCCATTACAGATCGCTATTCATCATGTAACAGAATCCAGGATCATGAAATTCCGTCACTGAATGGCCAAGAGACACCGTTATGGACACCCAGACCCAGAGTGTGCGCCTGGTCTGCGAGCTCCACAGGGCACCGGCTGTGCTTCTGGATGTCTTCCTGGCCACGGTCTGCGTGCCTGCAATTCTACAGTCCTCCCCGGGCACCACAGTAACACAGTCTGCGTGCCTGCAATTCTACAGTCCTCCCCCGGGCACCACAGTAACACAGGTCTGCGTGCCTGCAATTCTACAGCCCTCCCCCGGGCACTACAGTAACACAGGTCTGCGTGCCTGCAATTCTACAGCCCTCCCCCGGGCACCACAGTAACACAGGTCTGCGTGCCTGCGATTCTACAGCCCTCCCCCGGGCACCACAGTAACACAGGTCTGCGTGCCTGCAATTCTACAGCCCTCCCCCGGGCACCACAGTAACACAGGTCTGCGTGCCTGCAATTCTACAGCCCTCCCCCGGGCACCACAGTAACACAGGTCTGCGTGCCTGCAATTCTACAGCCCTCCCCTGACAGGCACCACAGTAACACAGGTCTGCGTGCCTGCAATTCTACAGCCCTCCCCTGACAGGCACCACAGTAACACAGGTCTGCGTGCCTGCAATTCTACAGCCCTCCCCTGACAGGCACCACAGTAACACAGGTCTGCGTGCCTGCAATTCTACAGCCCTCCCCCGGGCACCACAGTAACACAGGTCTGCATGCCTGCAATTCTACAGTCCTCCCCGGGCACCACAGTAACACAGGTCTGCGTGCCTGCAATTCTACAGCCCTCCCGACAGGCACCACAGTTACACAGGTCTGCGTGCCTGCAATTCTACAGTCCTCCCCGGGCACCACAGTAACACAGGTCTGCGTGCCTGCAATTTTACAGTCCCCCAACGGGCACCACATTAACACAGGTCGGCATGCCTGCAATTCTACAGTCCCCCGATGGGCACCACAGTAACACAGGTGCAGGGTCGAGAAAGTGGATTCAAAGTAAAACAATTTGGGCTACAAACCTAACTTCTACACTAGGTAATTTCACGACTTGGGGAAATTCAGGCAATTCCCCAGCCTCCGCTTCCTCCTGGTGACATGAGAGCCCCGCCTGGCCCTTGGGTGTGCGAGAACGCCCTGCCCGGCCTGCCACAGACCCACCGCAAGGCGCTCCGCGTTTTCACGGCCTCTTCCAACCTGGCCTGAGGCAGGTCAGAGGGAGGGAAGAAGGGGACAGAAATACGTTTGAGAATGACTCGAGTCCATAACCCAATACTCTGAATTTTCAGAAAATTATAATCATATAAATCAAATATGGGAATGTCTATGAAATAATCTCAAATAAAGAGACCATTTGTGCCCAGCCAGTGTGGCTCAGTGGTTGAGCACTGACCCACGCACCAAGAGGTCGCCAGTTCGATTCCCGGTCAGGACACATGCCCAGGTTGTGGGCTTCAACCCCAGTGGGGGGCATGCAGGAGGCGGCCAATCGATGTTCTCTCTCAACTATGTTTCTATCTCTCTCTCCCTCTCCCTTCCTTTCTCTCTGAAATCAATAAAGAAAAAAAAATATTTTTTTTAAAAAGAAGTGTAAGTGGAAGCAAACTACAGCAGCCTCCAGAACCCGTGTGGTCCGCCCCCCGGCTGGTCAGGACTGCAGAGCCCCGTCTGTCACCCGGCTTACTGAAGAGAATGTGCTCCGCCAGGTTTGCGATCAGTCTCCTCCGGAACGCCTCGTCTGTGGCACCGCTCGCCGCGGTAGTGGACGCGTCTGCACCTTCAGTAGCAGCATCATTGGGTCTGAAAAGTTTCTTAAAAATTAGACTTCGACAACCCCACTCTTTTACAAAGCAAAGTATGTGGGCCTAAAGGCTGAAGGTATGACACACTGTAAGTTACTACATATTCTAAATGTAAACCACAAATAGATTATTTCTGTGGCTTGTTTTCCCCCACGATATACCCTGTTATGTCCAATACTCCTCCTGGCCAAAACACATTTTTAGTTATAACTAAACAGTCTATTGGTACATCATTTGTAAAACCTACTGGCTGAAAAAATGCATAAAAGCAAGATACTTTGTTTGAAAACATTTATGAAAATTTGACACTTAAACACATTAAAGGAAGAGTTTAATATTCAATTCCTCTATGCTACAACTCATTCTGAATTCTGGAAAATTCACACAGAAAATCTCTGACACATTGCACTTATGTACAATGTGTATAATCTAAGCTACTGTCAAAAAGAATTCAGTTCAAACATTCAAAAGCACAAATAAAAACGCCTACCTGATTCACAAATTAAATAGACTTTATAATGAAAATAAATAAAAACCTCCACACTATGAAAGTGCATTACTGCACCATCCTTATAAGACCAAGAGCAAAGTTACTCCAGCTAGAAAGTGAAAACAAGAACATGCACGTTCTTACTAAAGCTAACCTACTTTTCTATGCAATATAAGAAGTAACAGACACTTGATGGTTTAGTTAGTATAAAAAATTTAGTTAGTATAAAAAATGTCCACAAACCTCACCTCGAAGGAAGGATAGCTGGTAAGAGAGCTTGCTCCAGAGAAAGTGGGGCAGACACGGGTTTCTGACTTTGGCTTTCTAAATATTCCTGGGGGAGGGGAAATTGACTCTTATTGTCTCATTTAAATACACGTATAAAAATATATTCGATCTTCAAAAAGTTTTCATGAAATGAGCCATGCTACAGAGCATGAGGATTACTTCTTATACCCTACACTGTCTTCAGAAGTCCAGAGTGATTCACAGAACACTGTCAACATGAAATCTAAGAACTGAAGATACAAAGAACAGGACGATGCGTAAGCAAAGTCATTTATAAATTAAAGGAGAAAATTTAACTTTTCTCACATTTTAAAGAAATTTTATATTCCCAATATATTATTACCAATAACTGACATAATCATGCTTTCTAAATGAAATCTAACAACCTGAGGGTCACATAACATTCCAAAGAACCTCAACCCAAAAGCAAATCACAGCAAGACAGAGAAGCTATGCAACACTGGTTTTGAAAGTGGTAAGAAGTGATGAGGTTCCTAGGAGTCGAAAGTGCATAAGCCAGAAAGCATCTAGCACAGCAATTCAGTTTTAAAATAAAACCAGGAAGTGGAAGAGAGAAGCGGGACTTCTGTCCTGATCCCCGGGTTCCCGCCTCCTTTACCCATCTTCTCTTTCTCTTTAACCACTTCAAACATCCGAGCAACTGAAAACTGCCAGGACCTCAAAGACCACCAGCCCCCCCCCCCATGCTGCTTCCCATGAGGAAGACCCCACCCCTCAGAACATGTGGGTCCCAGATCGCTCTTAGGAGGTCACAGCATCATCCGAGGTTGACTTGTACCCAGCATTTAAGGTTCGTGTTTTGAAAAACTTCCCCCAAAGGCAATTTAAAAACATAATAAAAAATACCGATATATGTTATTAAACAACATGCAAAAGTCTCATAAATTGAAAAAAAAAACAAAAAAACAATAAACAATGAACCCGCTATCTCCCAAAGACAGATATTTACTGTCCCTTGTTAACAGGCATAATTTGGTGGGAAAATTTAGGAAATGCCATTTTTGACCTAGTCCCCATTTTACAAGAGGAGAAACTGAGGCGACAGAGGCGGGGCTGCAGGCAGGACGGGGACTGACACCAGCCACGCCCGTGCTTTCAAACAGCTTCGTCCGGCAGACACCCACCTTCAAGGAGAACGGCTGGGCGAAGTCCACTCTGACACACCCGTAGTTTTTCCGTAACATTCTGATCACGCCCCTAGCTACACTCCAAAGGCTCTCGTTCTTCTTAGGTTTTCCCTAAATCCAATGTCGAAAGAATAACACGGTAAGAAATACAGCTCACACATATGCAAACATTCTGTTATCCAAAGAACACAGTTCTTTGTTTTTGTTTTTTATGGAAACCGGAGGTTCATATTGAAAAAACAACAATGAACGAACAAGGAAAGTAAGTGTTCATTGACTGAGACCTGTCATCGGGACAGGTAATCTGGCCAATGAAAACATTTAACACTAATTCATTCAGTACACTATTTATAGCGTTCACAAACACACAACTGCACACTAATGAAGGATTAAATGACATAGGTTAAAAAACGATTCTGCACTTCTCAGATAAAAATCAGATGTCAAAGGGGTCACTTAGGTAAAGTCTGATGATCACCAGAGCCCAAATACCTAACATTAGACAGCTGAATGTCAAATCCAGCCCCACAGTGGCCTGTAAGTTAATTATTCACTTAGTAAGCATTTACTGAATATTTAATATACATAAGGCACAATGGTGGCCGTATAATGGACACAGGACTCAGATCTATGATCTGGAGACAGTCAGCATGAGAGGAATCCACATTCAGCACAGACACCTAACATACTCGAGGGGGGGTCTCCTAAGAGGTACAGAAATAATCCAGGTCTACCACTAACTGTTAAAGCCTCCAATTACCAAGTATCCTGGAGCTTCTGACATGTTTGGGGCAGTTGGCTTGAAACAAGTACTTTGCCCAAGATTGTCACACTAAAAAGAACAGCACTGAAGTGCTCTGGACCTTCACAGTGCTGGCAGTGCTCAGTCGGGAGAGCATCCTGGTAAACTGCTTGGCAGTATTTACTAAAGCTGAACATGCATATATTTTATGACCCAACGATTCCAAACTCCCAGGCACACGCCCAGCAGAATGCACATATATGGTCATCAAGAGAAACTTACAAAAAGATCACAGTCAAAAACTAGAACCAAACTGTTCTTCTACAACAGGATAAATACACTATGGTATATTCAGACATTGGAATACTATGCAGCTATGAGAATAAGTAAATGCAATGACATGGAGGAGCGTGCAAACACCTGCTTGATGCAGAGACCACACACTACGCAACGCCACCTGTGGAGTTCCAGACCAGGAAAACGACTCTGCTCCTTAAGAAGTCAGGGTAAGTGGTGACCCCCGAGGGGTCAGCAATGAGAAGGGCACAGGGGGGTTCCCAGGGTGCTGATAATATTTTCTTGAGTTTGGTGCTGGTTATGTGGGTGTGTTAACTGTGTGATAATTCAAGCTATATGTTCATGATTTGTGCATTCTTCTATAACTGTTATACTTACTTCAGCAAGAAGTTTACAAAAAACATTACTGCCATTTCTCAAATTAATTTATAGTAGTTTGACCGACATGACCCCACCAGTCCTTCAGGCTTAACTTAAAATCTGAACATAAACAGTAAGCCCTGGGGAGAACAAGCCACACAAACCACCTCCCCCGAGCAGAGATGGCAGCTCAGTGCCAAGTGACCTTCTACTTCCCAGTCCCATGACCAAGGCTGCACTGATACATCGAATCTGGTCACTTCCTCCAGGTGCAGGTAAGAGCCACATGAGCACTGCCAATCGGGCGGACCCAGGAGGTGACAGCTATGCCCAGACCCACTCTGCCAGGTTTACGACAGTGCTTTAAAACTAGGTGGTACCAAGAAAAAGTCCTAATAAACTGTAAAAGCAACAGACTTGAAAGCAAAGAAGATTTGGGGTAGGCAGTCCTCTTACCAGCTGTTCGCCATTGTAGTGACCTTCGATAATACGATCGTAGGAGATCCCAACGGGGATTACCAGGATGTCTGGGATGGTATTGGTGGCCAGAGTGTCCACCACAACTGACAGAAGTCCTGCCCGAGCACAGGAGGTTTTCCCACTCCGGGAGCGAGTGCCTTCCAGAAAAATCTCCAAGAACTGCTGCTGTCGGAGTAGTTCCACTATGTGCTGGGTATCAGGAGAGTAAAGCATGAATTTAAGACCACCAACTCAGAAAAGGTTCAGCCAAGTTAAATCTTAAAAACACACCAAAGACCAATATAATTTCACTACTGACAAAATATTTTACTTACATAAATAATAGCAAGGCAGCTCCTCTAATGCTATAGTCTGATAACAAAAAATAATCACCAAACCCATACCCAAGCAATAATCAATTACATAATTACTCAGACAACAATTTTTAAAAATCTCAATCAAGCCCGGCTGGCTCAGTGGTTGAGCGTCGACCCCTGCACCAAGAGGTCGCTGGTTCGATTCCCGATCAGGGCACATGCCCAGGTTGTGGGCCCGATCCCCAGTGGGGGGCATACAGGATGCAGCCAATTGATGTTGTCTCTCATCAATGTTTTTATCTCTCTCCCTCTCCCTTCCTCTCTAAAATCATTAAAGAAAAAATACTTTAAAAACAATTCTCAATCAAGTCTCTCTTCTTCCCTCTCCTGTGGTACCTATCACAATGGCTTTAGGATAGTTAGAGATGACACCTACCCCGTGGAGCAGAGCTCTGTAGAGAATATCCTTCCGTCCATCTGGAGTTTCATCCAGCCTCCGTCGTATGAAAAAGCCCCCCAGCTTATGGATCAAGGTACTGTAAATTCAAAAATGCACTAATTATTTAAAAGAATACTCAGATTCCAAGTCCCTTCCAAGCATTTGCCATGGAATATAAACCACGTGTCGCTGGAGCTGCTGGCAGTGAGCAGGGGGACACTTGCCCGTCTTCTTGTTGCTGACCTGTTCCAGCCGTTCATGTCACTCATCAGCCTTTAGAGTATCTCTTCGCGGGCTGAGGCCCTGCTGCCTCTGCTCCAAGCCAAAGTCGAAGCTTTGTCCACACGATCCCACCAGTCCTCCAGGCTTCACTTAAAAACTGATGCAACTCCGATGCGCTAGAGCTTAGGATTGTGAAATCCTGCTACATTTCAACCCCGTCCAGGGTCTCCAGACACTGACTGTCCGAAATCCCAAAACCTGCCTCTGGCACATTCACTACGAAATAACTGTGATGTTACAAAAGCCGCTTCAGAGAATATTCTCCAATAAGTATTGCTCACAGATTGTTCCGTGAGACCAGGATAATGTTATCAAGCTGAAACCAAGCATAACCATCTTCTGAAAACATGAAACAAGAATCTGCTTCATGTACCTACATATAGGAATAAAACAATTTTTTTTCACAGCCCCAGGTCTCTTTCTATAATGCTGATTTTTTATATGAACTTGCAATGTTCTAATACTCAACCTCTCCAAACTCAGAACCTTCTCCTATTCTTTCCAAATACAGTGCTATTAATATAAATATAACTTAATTATATATATTTGGTTCTCCCATAGTCTGTATAATAAGGCAACAGTAAGATGTTCCTAGAGCTTAATACCACCCTTTGAGAGTAAAATTCTGCAAAATAAGTTCATAAGGAATGAGATGAACCACCCACAAAAATAAACCACCCTGAAAAGTGGTCTGTGAATGTGCAGACCAGCATGTGACAAAAGATTTGCCAACAGGCCAGGTCACCCAGTCTGTCACGTCAGAAGCAAAGGCGGCTAGGCAGTCCTGGCATAGAGTTACATAACAAGGACAGCTGAACCGGGAGAAGTAATCCGTGCTTAGCAAACACTTCCAAGAGATCCGAGTTGAACCTGGAGAGAATGACTACGTGAGTTATTCTGGTTACTGTCTTCTAGCACCCAGACTTTGCTCTAAATCTGTGCCTTCCAGCGACTTTCTGATGCCTAATTCAGCTTCCCAGGTTGCTCAGTACTAGGAAGAGGTGCCCAGGAGAGCAAACATAGATATTCAGTCCCTGGAAAAGCACATCTGCCCTGTGGGGTCATGTCACGCTGTATGATAGCTAGTTCTGTTTGTCTACATTCCCCATTAGATTATGAGCTATTTAAAGGCAGGATTTATGTATCTTGTTCTCTCTTGTCTATAGCATAGCTGAGTAAATATCAGCTGACTTCTTGCCAGTCATTCACGTGAGTCCGTTAGACAGAACTCTGAGCTAAGTGATTAGGAAGGAGCCACCTGGACTGAGGCTGCGGCTCCGACTTCACAGCTGGCAGAGGTAATGAGGGCCACTTTGTGACGCCCACCTGCACACACTGCCGGCCCACTCCCTTCCAGTCCCCCCCTAAAGCCATCCTTGACTCTCTGCTACCCACAGAGCTGACCTTGCAGATGCTTTAAGCTTTTAAGTTTCAAACTGCAATTTCCTTAACCAGCTGAACCTACTCCTCACCAACTCCCCCTTGGGGAGCAGCTGGAGACCTACCCAGTTCCCTGGAGGTAAACACCTGGGAGTCTTCCTCCCCCCTCACCCCTTGCGCTTCTCCCGCTCTGTGGAGCCCCTCCTCTGGACTAGCATTTGCTCTTGTAAATTCAACTTACTAAACACTGTTCAAATCGATGCTCACCTCTCCTCCACCAGTATCACTATGCTTTTCATGTAAGCCTTCATTATTTTGCCTGAACTATTGCTACAGAGTCAGAATTGTTCTAACTCCCTCTAATCCACAATGACTTTTTGAAATGCAAATCTGACCATGTAATTTCTCAAGTACAGAATACACTCTGAAGTCTGGGCTCAGAACTTACTTTATCTTGTCCTCACTACCTATGCAGTCACCACCTACTGCCTCAACCCCGGCCAGGACATCCAACATTGTCACCCAGCTAAACTGTCCACCACTGCCTGGACAAAACAAGCTTTTGAATCTTGCTGCCTTGTCACATACTATTTCTTCTGGATGGAACACATTTCATTCTCCTGAAAACCTCTAAGATATATACCTTCATGTTATGCTGTAGTTGTCACAGGTTTCTAGCTGCTCTAAATTATAAGGTGGAAGTTAACAGGTATGGTTCTTCTCACCTACCTTTAAACCACCATCCCACGGCCCATCCCAAACCCCCACTGCCAAGCCTGACACAGTAATTTGCTCTCTTGTCTAATTGCCTTTTATCCTTTTGGTAAATGGAGCCCATTAAGCTTAGTACTCACAGCTCACCAAGTATCCCATATAAAACCCAGAAATAATGATGATAGTCTTAATGCTTTTTTGTACTTTTCACAATGAACATGCATTATTTTTACAGTGAAAATAAAAGGCTAACATAACATAACATCTTTATAATAACATGTCAAAAGGTATAATAATAAAAGAATAAAAGTTCAGAGTATCATCTTTTCCACACTTTAAATTACAGAAGCAGCTGATCTGACCTGAAGATGGGGATGTTGAGATTATTGCCTGAAGCGATGTAGGGCGCTTTGATGTTATGGCAGAAAAGAACAAAAGTGAGCAGCAGGTAGTCGATGTGCGATCGATGAACCGGCAGAAATATAAGTGGCAGATTCATCTAGCGAAAGGAAAACGCCAAATTTAACATGCGAATGCATGGTTCAAGCACACTTTGTAATTTCACATTTGTTCGAGTCACTCAGACTGGGCTAATCAGTGAGTTGTTCTTTAAAAACATTTTCCAGTAACATGAATTCTTTCCATTTAATATATATCTAGCTAAAAACAACGACAAAAACAAAGAATCGGGGAAGGAGACGAGCAATCGCGAGTTCAAGTGGAGCCGATGTCTCTCAGGGCAGCTCTGATCGTGCACAAAGCGCTGGTTTCAGAGTCAAGCCCGGTTCGGTTTGAAATCCTAGGAAGTCACCTATGAGCTGGGCCTTGGAAAATGTCTTAATCTATCTGAGCGTTTATTTCCTCATGCGCAAAACGGGGACTGTTCAACCTGACGTTCAGAATTGCTGCCGGGTGACTCACTAAAGGGGCCTGCACGCTGGTGGTCCTCCTTCACCCGCCGCTCCTCCCGCACACAGCTCTGTGGTTACCTCCCACGGGGGAATCTCCCGGCTGGGTTGGAATGCACAACGGTACACAAGAGAACACTTTCAAAAGATTATCAAATCCCTCCACAAACGTGGAGAAGGGCAGATCCCCAGGTTTCTTGCCTCGGTTGCAGCTTTAACCATCTCGAGTTGGCCCTTGTGAATCTGAATGTTCCAGAAGAAGCTATTGAACAGCTTTAGCAGCACCCATCCGGTCAGTCTGAAAGGAAAAACGAAAACAAAAGACAAAGAAGTTCAAATGTACGTGTGTGTGCAGTGCTTGGAAGTGACTGTGTGCGTGTATATGTGTGTGAGCCTGAATTGTGGGATTAAACAGCTGACTCTTCATATTATACTACTTATAAAAGTATCCATTTAGTATAGACTAAAATCTTACTTTCACTCTCACGGCACACTTTAGATGTTAGAAGCAAATGGCCCAGAGTACATCAGGGAGCAGAATGACAAAAAACCACTCCCTTCAAGACATGGGCATGTGAAACCCAGCTCACACCCAGTCCAGAGAGTAAGTATGAGCAGTAATACAATCCCTGCTAACATTTAGCAGAGGTTAGGGCGTCTTAAAGCCTGCCACAGCTACGCCCCATGAAGTCGAACAAGAACATAGAGAGGAGTTGTGTGTGACGTCATGTACGTTCAGACGTGTGGACCGAAGGCGCTGTGCGAGGAGAGGAAGGTGGCCGAAAGCGTTCGCTCGCCTGGTGATACCTGATCATTGCTGGTGAGACAGTGGCGACCATTTCTTCGAGGATCCTTCTGGCTCTCTTCCGCACTTTGCTGATGGCTTTCGACTGCTGCTGGGCAGAGCCATCGGGGTTTAGTTCGGCTGCCACTTCTGCAATGGCATCTTGCACTCTGATTTGAAGAGAAAGACAATGCAACTGGTTCTGGGCTCCATTCTGCATTCAGTATTTTGTAAACCACAGCTACGGATCACAAAACAAAACGTACCTTCTCTCTAATACGTGGTAATGTGAGAGAATACGCTCATTACAAGTGTTTTCTTTGGTTGTCTATTCAATATTAAGGATATTGTATTCCTAACGCAATGAACCCCTGAGGACCCTGAAAAGCCAATTTAGGGATTTAATTCAAATTCCCTGCATAACAGCTATGTGGATTTGAATGTTTCAGCTACGCTGGGAGAGACACAAAGCTGCACTCTGGCAGAAGATAGAAAGGGAATAGGATCCATTTAGGCATGTGATTCAGAGGCATCCAAAACCTGCTGTCAAAGTAATGTCTAATTTTACTTTGGAAGACCCAATCGTTCATTTACAGTGTGACGCCATTAGAATTCCATATAAAACTCTCTAGGAGGGATGCAAGAGGGACATATATATTTACAAGTGTTTTCAAATAAAACCGATAATTTTAAAGAGGCGGAGCTCAAGACTAAGAGAGCACAGAACAGTAAGCAATGAGGTAAAGGAAAGATCTAGCCAGTCTCGTGAATCTCTCACATGACGTAGGGAAGAACACATGAGGCCAGACCTCCTCAAATCACTTCTAACATTCTAGTTACTAGTCAAAATACATGCATAGAATGAAACATACTTGAAGGTTTTTACCTAGAAAACAGAATATATAATATTCCAAGGGAGTTTCAAATAACTGTGTTTTCTCTCACCGTTGCAACTGATGTTATCAACTATTCACTCATTCCATCACTCAATCAATAAATATTTGAGGACCTATTATGCGCCACCACTGTTCAAGCCTTAGCAACCACACCATAGGCCTGCACTGCTGAACATCTTCCAATCCACCCATCTCCAGGCACCCAAATCCAGGTTGATGCGGAACGTGGACCACACCAACGATGTGGACAGAGACCAATCTTCTTCCAAACCCCCGATTCTAATGCCCGATTTTCTCAATAATGCACCTCCCCAGTCCACCTGAGTTCAAGCTAGTCTCTTCCATTTGTAAACAAGCTCCTCTAAGATCAAGGATAGGATCTTCCTCTCTTAAAATTTCTAACATAGATTTCCTAGTACAAAGATTTCTGCCTAGGTACTCAATAACTGTTCAACTGAAATATCAAACTGCCCTGGCCAGTTTGGCTCAGCGGTTAGAGCGTCGGCCTGCGGTCCAGAGAGACCCGGGTTCGGTTCCCGCTAAGGGCATGTACTTCGGTTGCAGTTTGTCCCCGGCCCTGGTTGGTCGTGCGGGTGGCAACCACTCGATGTGTCCCTTCACGTCGATGTTTCTCTCTCTCTCTCTCTCCCTTCCTCTCTCTCCCTCCCATTCTATCTGTACAAAAAATGGAAAAATATCTTCGGGTGAGGATTAAAAAAAAAAAAAACAAAAAAAAAAAAAAAAGAAATATCAAACTACCTTCTCTTTTGGCTACAAAATAGAAAATGGAAAATGTAATGTCCTTAAACTTTCATATTACAGAATACTTAACAGAGAACTTTGCAAATATGCGCATGTCTGACTCCAACTTGTCTTTCAAGTATAAAAAACCCCTTCACTTGTTAACCCATAAAACAAGCCTGCTATTCCTGCAGGGCCCTGCTCACCTAAACCATCGGTCTGCCTTTCCTTGGTTTCCATTTGGAGCTTAACATTTAACTTGGAAATGCAAATGCCTCTGGAGACAGAGTCCAGAGGCACTACAGGTTAATAAAGGAAATTACTTCCTCGGTCCCCCTCCTGTGGCCCATCCCCACCCTTCACCAAGCGCCCCCACCCTTACCCCTTACCGGCTGCTGTTCAGCACATTTTCTGCCACATTGGTGGCAAACATGCCTTTATGGACCTCTCGCTCCTGAACGAAAAGTACGTAAGAAAGACGCCTTGCAAGCCATCCTCGGTGCCTGCAACATGAAAATCCTTTAGCAGAGAAGTACTCCAGGAACACTTAAAACAAGCTGCTTAAATTATACAGTGGTTTTTCTCCTGTGAGAACAAGGTCTCATTTCACCCACTCCTGTAGCAAACTTTCCTCTGGAGTTCAGACAATATCATTCCGATGTCTTTCATGTACTCTCAGCTAAAATTTAAACTTAGAACTTGTGTATTAATGCCTATATTGTGTTACTTTGCCAAATAATAACCCAAATATAAAAACCAAAGAAACAAAGATATCTTACTTTATTAATGCTACAAAAAGTAATTCCACATACACACACACACACACATATATACACACAGCTTACAGCTAGAGCTATGGGCTATAAAAGATAATTTGGAAGTCTTTTCTTATTACTCAGGGCTAATTTTTAATGTTGTTGTTATAATAATTCTTCTAAGGTTGTTTACTAGGCTCCCGAAATCAGAAGTTCTTAATCTTAAAAGAAAAAAGAAAAATATATATATTCAACATACCTAAGGGATAGGACATGTTCCCAGCAGTGACTGTGTGTTATTTGGATGAGGGGGTTGGGGACAGGTACCTCAGAATAAGAATGCTACAAACTTTCATTACGCAAAGATTTGATACTGTTAGTAATGATTGTATAATGCCTTATTATTATGCCTCCATGGTATTCATGTAAACAAAAGATTTCAATGGTAAATTCACCAATTCTGAAAAGGGCCAAAAAGCCCTCGAATTTGAGGGAGAACTGATTATGAGTCACATGCACCTTCCTGGCATTCTCTTTTTCTTCCTCTTCTCTTTTGTCTCGGTTCTCTGAAAACTTGGCCCAATATGTTAAGTGTTTAATTCTAAACTCTTTCTTCAGTGAAAACTTTCATAATTATTACTGGAATGTACAAAGTCCAAACTCCCTATGGAATCCCTTTGCAATGGACTGAAAGCTGTGTGTGTGTGTGTGTGTGTGTGTGTGTGTGTAAATATTTAGGCTTTGCTTCATGTAACACACAGAAGAGCTAAACAGAGAACACACCTGCACAGGCAGCTTATTACATTGAACAGTTTCATTTTGTCTTGTCAATATGAATGTTTTTCTCAACTGCCTCCAATTGAGGGCAACAAACAGACCCTTTGGCTTTATATATTAAATGTGTACTTAATATAAAGAAGGGACCCTATGAGACCTCTTTCTTAGGATCTTAATCATGTCAACCAAGGGGGGTGGCAGGGGTCAATGAACCAGAAGGGGGAGTATGGGAACAGAAAAAACTACCTCCCTGGACTTCAGTTCTATTAAAAAAAACAAACCTTAACTAATATATCTGTAGATATTGTCATGTTTGTTCATGATCATCATCAAATTATGAACAGTAACATCAGAAAGACTTAAAATTTAAGATTTGATTTTTTGAATCAATTTTTCGTAGAAATTCAAGTATTTCTCATCACCTGAGCTTACTGCTTCCCTACGCCAGGCATTTACTTTTAGAATTCTAAGAACAGGTAGCATTTCTGGTGGCCACTCCTCTCGTGCCCCTAAGACATTCACACACCCTTCCCCCTCCTTCCTCTCTCCCTAAATCCACAGCAAACAACGCCTCTCTTCTCCCACTCAGCTGCCTGACGCCTATCCCCACTTGCCTGGAATTTGGAAGTAAGAATTCTAAGAAAAACATTAAGCTAATAATAAATCAAAAAATGTTTGCTCAATAGAGGAAAGTATCTTCTAAAACTCTAGATTGGCTATACTTTTTTAAAGTATAAAATAGTTATCCTTTAAGTATAAAATAGTCATAAAAGATCACAAGACATTCAAACCTACACCTCTCCTTAGACAAATCTGTATCACAATTTGGAATATCACAATGCAAAATCACGAGTATGTTAGAGAAAGCTATAAGCAATATCTACACTCTCAAGAAAATATTTATTATACAATTACAGCAGTGAGATAGTAATAGGTCTCTCAGGTGGCTATATTGTTTCCAAGTTTTGGATAAAGCCTCTTGTGCCAGAAACTCAAATTCTATTAACTCTCAAAAACATAATGAGATTCATCTTACAGTGCATTACTTATTATAGAGTTTTTCTCTTGAGATGTAGCGGAAGTACGAGAAATTTCTTTTTACCTTGTGTGAGTTTCATTGATATAAATAACATTCCTCAAGCCCAAAGACGGGATACTGGGGTTGAAAAACTTATCCTACATAAAACAAAAAATAAACATAGACATAAATATGCGACTGGTTTGCTGGTGAAGACCTTGCATTATGAGTACTTGATAACTTTCAAAATTCAGGCATCACTTTAGGCATTGCTTCAAAAATCAAGGTGATGAAGAAAACTTGTTAAAACTTTAAAAAGGTTACAAACTCAAAAATTAATCCTTAACACCTTGCAAAGGAAATAGTGCCTCTCCCTGCCCTGCCCTGCCCCACTCCCCACCCTCCAACCCAAAAAAGTTGGAGCTACAGACAGCTTAAGTCATTGACAGAAATACTGGTGAGTTCACTGTTTCCAAACTAGAAAACTACTATGCTAAAAGTAACATGTGTAAAATTTTTTAGAGGTGGGTGGGGGAGGCAATATAGGAAAATTGCTATTATTTTTTTTCCCATGGGAGTACCAACATTTCATATGTTCCGAACTCAACAGGGGGATCACTGCTAATTGTATTTGAAAACTCCCATGTGAGCTGGTACTAGCATGTGTAAACGTGAACTTTATCTTTGATGTTCAAGGGATGTAATTCATGGCCAGTTTCCACAATAAGCCAAGGAGAGGCTTTATATCTTGGTACTGACACTTTATGTATTAGGCTATAATCAACACTATTGGCTACATGCTCTGTCACTAAAATAAAACTGTGACTGTTCTGCAAATAAAGTTGAATTACTAACAACAAAAGTAACATGCAGTTATTATTAGATTAGTAAATCTCCCAACAATCCTGACACATAAGAATTATAATCCCCATTTTACAGAAAGAAAAATTGAGTCTGGCAAAAGTTTACAATTCAATCCTACATCTTGTCCCAAAGAGTATGGTCTTTTTATTCCTCTAAAACGACTATTCCACTTCATGGGATAATGTAACTGCTGAAAAGAAAAAGTCTATAACTCTGTCAAGTGGGACAAAAAGTAAACTTCGCACAAGTAAATACTAAGCAAGCATAATGTACCCTCAACAAAAGATATAAAAATACTAGGTGGAAGCTCTTTAGAGAAAAGGAAAATAGGACTTCAGAGAAAGGGTAGCAAATATCAAAAAAATTACTATAAAAATATTGTCAACCAAAAATTATTTTAAATAAATGTGCCATGGAAGAATTGCAAGATCAAGTTCAGCTCCTATATTTAGGTACAATGGTACCTAAAGTTGTTCAGGTAATATATTTAGGCAAAAATCAATGATCTCTTACACTACTCACCTATCCTCACCCCAAACCATCCCTGCTACCAAATAATTTCCCATACTCTCTCCTGACTTAATGACACATTAGAGTTAAGGTATTGTTTTGATCTTTTAAGCATTCAAAATTAGAATTAGATGAGATGCCACATCTAAAAATAAGTAAATAAAGCCACATGATCTTCTATTTAAATCTTTATTTTATTGCCTATTCATTTGAACTGGCTTTATTCCTGGACTAGAAATTTCCATGATCCTTCAGTGCTACCTAATTCTTGCCAAAAGGCACTTGTGATTTTAAAGGAATAATATTTATATCAAGACATTCCTGAGCAGACCTAAATATTTAACATAAACTGCTTGGGTCCCACACAAGTCTCTCCCAGGTTAGTAAATCCCTTTATCCCTGAACGGAAAATACACACAGCACAGTTAGCTATTCACACAGGTTATAAACAACCTCTGTAAAGGACAGGCCCTTAAATGGCAGAATTTCTGTGTCCTGGTAACTGACCCATCTCAGCGAGAACATAACATCCAGGTGTACCTTTTGACAGGTAACTCTACTGCTTCAGGACGCAGCCACATGAGATTCTACCGTCCTGTGCAAACTCATCCCTCTGGCAAAATGCCATCAGAAGCACCCCTCTCCTCTAATCAACTCTTGTCAAATACTGACACCCACACTGTAATGTGGAATATTGTACATGGTTATGTTTTTCACCAAAATACAAACAACAAGCCCATATACGTTCTTCTTTAAGTCTTCACCTAAGCTTTTAGTGACCATTCTTCGCCATCACGGAGTCAACAGACACCCATCCCCCATCACTCCGAAATAGAAATTTAACAAGAGTACAGCAAAGCCACGGGGCTGAGGTTCAACATCTAGAAGTTGCATCAAGATTTCCACCTACTCTCTGAAAGAATTAATTGAAAGTAAGATCTACTCTGCCCCCAAAGTTATACCAAAAACTACTAAAGAACCCAAATCTTGTCTAGCATCAACTACTGGCCCAACATTTAATGATGATATGAATGGAAAGAAAAATTGAGTTGGCATCTTTACTTGGAATATTTGGTTAATAAACATGGCTTTACATTCTAAAAATGAATGAAGTCTATTAGGTATTTGCTCAATACCAAATTCACACAAAGCTGGAAATCTATGGCACATGTTTCAAAAGTTTATTAAAGATCAACAAGCAGTCACATTCTTACCCAGCTCTGGGGAGTACAAGAATAACAACATCTTCCGACAAATGGCCTCTTCCGGTTCATTAGGCTTTCTTTCCATTTCAAGGTTGCAGATCTGAAGACAGTAGATCTGAAACCACACTCACCCTAATAAATATTAAGGAAAAAGTGGTCACTAAATGGCAAGAAAATTATAATTGTCAACGTTATCTCTAAAACTGAGATATTTCAGATAGAAGAGAAACTTTGGGTAGTGGCATAATTATGTGTTTCTCGGAGTGATTTTCATTCAAGGTACTCCCTCCCTGATCAACTCTTGGAACATGAGCAAAAGCAGAGCACCTAAGAATAGTAATAGCAGGCAATAACTATACACTCAAAGCGGCATTCAAGGTTTTAAAACAAAGTTGGAAAAGGTCAAACAGCCTCTGACAGTATCAGGATGAATAAAGTAAGACTCCTGGGTCCCTATGCTAACAGTCGATCTCACTGTTAAATCACACACTCCCACAAATGAACTACCAAGGCCTTACATAGTAAGCAAGTTGTTATAATACAACTTGGAATATTTTGCTTTAAATAAAAAACAAGGAATACTTAGAACAATCCTTTATTTTAACAAGGGAGTGTAATGGCTGAAAATGAATTTATAGCTGTACTGCACCATTAGGGTCAAACTCCACTCTTCTGTTCTAAACATTTTTCTCTTAACTTTGAGTTCATCTGTTGCTCAAATCCCACTGATATAGCATGCTCAAAAAATAAGCAAAAAACAGAAACAAAAAACCTCCATCATTATTTTTCATATAAAACAGATAGTGTTCAAGAACTATTTTAAACATGCCATGTTATGTTGAAATAGGGAAAACAATACAAGATAATGTATGCCCTTCGGATTGGGCTCATACTAAAATGTATTCCCTATTTTTAATATTTTAAATAAACTTCATTTCCATCACAAAATATATACTTATAGATGTAATTATGGAAAATAGATACAGGAACATTTTAAAACTATCTTTATAATGACACCACCCAAAATAATTACTAGTAGGCTTTTTTTTCCTATGCAAAATTATTTTGCTTTTAACATAATGTCTGTAGTTAAAATTTTTACCCAATTTTTTTCTTCCCAGTTATTGGTATTAACTTGGCTTCAGCATTTCCACATTCATAAACAACACTGAAATGAACATCTTTAGGTTGACCGCTTTTAAACTGCATTGTAATCTTCAACTTACCCATTCCTCACTTGCATGCTTACATGGGCCAACACTGTATTCTGATGAATTTGGCAGATAAGAAACATCTATTGTGTCAAGGGTCAGTGCAGAATCATCCATGTCACAAAGCGTAACTCCTAAATCATGTGCTATAAAAATATATATATACCATTTCAGTTAATAAAGAATCTAGAAAGTAAACACCAGAACTCAAAATTCTGACTTCTATAGGTTTTGCTCCATAATAGGATGTCAAATGAACCACTGACAGACTTAGAACAGGTTCAAAGTGTAAAAACAGACTTTGATGTGTTTATATGACTCAGTTAGGCAGCTTTGACTTTAAAATAATCAATCTTTGTATCTTTAGACTTTCTAAACAAAACAACTCTGAATTTGTAAGAGTAAATAGTAGCTTATTTCAGGTACATGACAAAGAATTATTTTGTCTGTGTTAATAGTTGAATAGTTCCTGGGGGTAGGGGTGAAGGCATGTGTTTAATTAAATATAAGTTACATGTACACACATAAGTAGATACTTTTTAAAATTATGTGCTAGGAATTCATGCATCCTATGCAATAATGCAAAAGAGTAAAGGCAAAGAGGGCACCTCTAAAGTTTCCCACTTAAACCGACTAAGCTCTTAATTTTCTTGTGCTGCCTTAATTGAAATATTTGCATGTACATTGACAAAGCTCTAAAATAAAACCACCTTATTTGAAAAATTTGATTTATAAGTGTTCATCCTTTCAATAAGCCTTTTCTTTTTCCTACCCTACTGGAAAATGTTCACTAAATGAATTGCTAAAGAAAATTGATACATACTAACCTAAAATATAAAAACGTTCTAACATAAGTTTCCAATTATTTTGAGATAGCTTTGGGCTATTTCGCACCTTAAATTATTCCTTTAAAACTTTAAACGGTCGATTCCAGTGTTCTTTGGAGGTCATACTCTGATTTCTCTATAATCGCCACATGGGTTTGCTGTGGTAACTGTTACCATCAGCAAAACTCTATCTGCGACCTTAACAATTTAACCTATGTAACAACTAACGCAAGAGGTGAGAGGAGAGAAGAGTAAAGCAATGCACATGGCATGAAAGCTGTTCGGTATTATAAAACTTCGCTATCAGTTGCAGGTGCAGAATGTAGCCACAATAGGGGGAGCCCCTGCAGCCGGAATATGAGCAGGCGCTGGCCCCAGTGCGAGGGGAGGAGGGAGGCTTGTGCAGAAGTCTACTCTCCGCTCTTCCCTCCCCACACCGTTCATCAAAAATCGAAAGTTTAAAAAAAAAAAATCCGGAGGTGCCACACTATGGGCTGACGGGAGCCAACTGTGAGATCTACAAGGGACCGAGGCAGGGGCAGCCCTGAAGTCATACTCGAGTTCAATTCCCAGTCTTACCCTCTGGGGGACGTTGGCCAAGTTGGTTAACTTCTGCGCCCTGGCTTCCCGGTCTGGAAAATGTGCATTAATATGACAGCCTCACCTCCTGGGTCGCCGGGAGGACCGGACCGTGCATAGAACGCGCCTAGCACAGTGTCTGTCACCCCGTGAGCGCTCCGCCCAGTCAATCAGAACCGTCTGTCGTGGGAACGTCCCCAGCCTCAGCTGCTCTCAGCACCCCTGCAGCCCCAACGCCAAACCCATGGCCCCCACGTCCCATGCAGGTGCGCAGGGTGCCGGCCCAAAGAGGAAGCCCGGCCTCCACCTGGTCTCCCGGAAGAGCACAACCCCGATCCCCACCGCGGCACAGGTCGGAACCCATTTCTCCAGGGGATCCCCGGAACTCGGGGGAGGAGTCAGGGGGACACAGCGCCCGGCGACTTGCAGGAGTCACGCCGGCTCCCGCGCAGAGAGCGGCCACGCACCTGTCCCGCCGCTCCCGGCCCGCGCAGCCTCCGCAGCCGGCTCCCGCCCAGGCGGCTCGCACTCGCGGCTCCGCGAGCGTCCGGGGCGGCCGCTGCCGGCACTTGCGGTCTCCGCCGGGGCGGCTGCACTGTCGCCCCCTGATGACGCAACGGGCGCGCGGGGATGACGCGGCCGCCGCGAGTCCGCCCGCCCGGGGGCTCGTGGCCTCGCGCGCGGCGCGTGGGTGTCGGGGGAGGACAGCTGCACACAAGCGGCGTCTTTGTGGCCCAGCCCGACGTGTGGGCGCGAGCGAGGGTATCCCGCCCGGGCGCGGCCCCGCGAGCGCGCGTGACCCCAGGCCGCGCTGTGTAACCCGCTCTTCGGGGGCTGGGATCCCCCCGGGCTCTGCCGGGCGTGTGCGCGGGTTTCCGTGCGTGTGTGCGGTCTGCCTCGTTATGAGATTTCTAAGACGATGTCGAATTTATTGGGGTGGGGGCGTGGGAATGGTCCTTTGGTGTCATTCCTGTAATAGTGGCCGAGGACCTTTTCCTTCAAGGGAGAAAATGAGGAATTAAAAGAAACAGAACGTCGGAATCCCAGTTTGCCCACGTTCAGCCCTTCAAAGCAGCACCAGGTACAAAGGTGGTTTCCCCAGCTGGTCGTTCTGTAGAGGGGCCGCGGTTGTCCAGAGCACTGGTACAGTGGAAGGGAGAGAGGACCGCTGCCCGCCCTTGCGCAGCAAGCAGCGATGTCAGCTAGCAGCTGGGAATACAAAGATGCTTGAGAAGTAGCCCCTGCCCTCAACCTCCCTTCGAAACAAATCGGTGCCCATGCCCACCGTCAGCAACGCTCCGGAGCTCCCTGGCAGTCCAAACGCCTGAGCCTGGCACACAGGCGCCCACCTGTCAGCTTCCACTTTCCCACTGGTCTCCAGCAGGAGTCCCTTACTTCATCCTCTGGACCGTCTGTCCTGGCCACGCCGTGCACGCTCACACTCCTAACTGCCCGTGCCACCGCTTTCCCTGGCTCTGGCGTTCCTGTGGAATCCCACAGGCTCACTGTGGCACCACACCGTGGGTCTCACCCACTGTGCCGTTCTTCCAGGAGATGAACTCGTCAATGTCAGTGACTTGCCTCAGACTGTAGGCAGGGGCACTACATGCGGTGTTGTATTAAGCCCAACAAGTAAATGCTTGTTGAAGCGGAGGAATAAGAAGGAAAACAAGAATTCCTTGTCTTGAACTTTCTACTTCTGTTCATAAATCTATCCCAAAATTCAGGTGTGGCCTTTTGTTTTTCGTCATAGCAGAAAACTTTTTTTTTTATTATTATTTATTTTAGAGGGAGGAAGAGAGAGAGAAACATGAATGTGAGAAACATTCATTGGTTGCCTCCCATATGTGCCCTGGGGATTGAACCCACAACCTAGGTATATACCCTGACCAGGAAGTGTGGATCTCTTTTAAAACGATCCCAAATAGGAGGTGTGGTTATTCATATATATATATATATATATATATATATATATATATTCATATATGTGGTTATTCATATATATTCATATATGTGGTTATTCATATATATTCATATATGTGGTTATTCATATTGATATCTATATATATATATAGATATAAATATCTATATATATATATATTCTTAAAGTTAAAGACCGAATTTTTATCAACCCCACATGCACTTTAGTTCCAAGTACTCCAGGACTATGTCAACTAGAATAAGATGGATTCTAATCCCAAAGAGGACAAGGAAAAAGGGTGGGGAGACAGGAAAGCCTCAGGGTTGTAGTCACTGCTAAAGAGAAAGTAATGAGAAATGAAGCAATGAAAACATTACAGGAATGATAAGGTAAGTCACAGGGGAAAATTAGACTGTTTTACATGAAGTTCATTTGTAGGAGTCTTTTGTAATATCCATTGCACAAGATTTTGCTTTGCTTACAGAAGATGTGGATTGCACATCTTCAGGTTACTTAATGAGAATTGTTTTGGAAACAAGTGACAAACCCTTGGCGATCTGTCTTGTCAACAGAACCACAATAACTTAAAGTATATCCACTCCAGCCAGCCAAGATGGAACAACAAGGACTGAATTTACTTTCCTGCTAAAACAACTAAAACAAACCAGGCAAAATAAATAAAAGAGGGAGCAGTGCAGGACATATTCATAAGGAAGAAGAAAGAAATGAGGTGAGCATCATGATTGGTTCAGCTTACTGTCTAGAGAGAATTGCCAAGCTGCTGTGCAGAAAGGGGGAACCTAAGAAGATCTAGGCAGACCCCTGAGTTGAGGAGATAGAAGTAGAAGACCAGGAAGGCCAATGCAGATGAAGTTGGGGACAGAGTACCAGAGAGGTAAGAGCTATACAGAGAAAGAGGGAACTCTGGAAACCTGTAGAAGGTCTTGCTCCAGTCTCCAGCTGATTCGCTCATGAATGTGAGGAAGGAACTGGAGGCCAGGGAAAGAACCACCTATACAGAGAAAAAGAACAAACACCAGAGCATGCATAAGGCAGGGAATTGATCTTGTGTTCCACAAGTCAGTGAAAAGTACAGCATAGAGTGGAAGAACAGAGTGATCATACAAGATAAGGAATAGGGCCTGATCCTAGCACCCAGGCTGGAAAACCTCATAATTCATGACTCACGATCTTGCCTCGGTAGTGGGGGAAATTAACCCTAAAGGAAATGCTGCTCTGGTCCTACCTAACAAATCTTAAAGCCGGCCCCAGAAGGATCACACCCTTTCCAAGAACAAAGTATCCCAAAACAAAGAACAAGAATACTTAGAGTAAATCAAAACTATCCAGCAATCAACAAGGTGAAGTTCACAATGCCTGACATCCAATAAAAAATTACTAGGCATGCAAAAAGAAGGAGGAAAGAATGACCCATAATGAGGAGAAAAACCAATCAATTGAAAAGTACAGAAATGACAGAATTAGTAGACAAGGACACTAAGAAACAATTATTATTATATTCTATATGTCTAAGAAAGAAAGATTGAGCATATTAAGTAGAGATGTGAAAAGTCTCTTTTAAAAAACACCCAAATCAAACATAGACCATAAAACCATCACCTGAGATTTTTAACATACACAAACCCCACTAGTATGGGACTAATAACATTACTGATAAAAAAAATTTTAAAGCCTGGAAATACTGCAATAGAAAGCATCCAAAATGAAACACAGAGGGACTAAAAAGAATGAAAATAAAAATAAACCTAGTATCCGTGAGTTAACAAACATGCAGTTGGAGTCCCTGAAGTAAAAGAGTAATATCACAGTGAGAGGGAGCTGGGGAAGACGGGAAAAAATGGTAGAAATGATGGTTGAAAACTTTCTAAATTTAATAAAAACTAAATTCACAAATCCAGGAAGCTCTAAGGAGAAACGTGAAAAAACCACACCAAGGAACATCACAATTACATTCTTTAAAACCAGTGATAAAAACCTTAAAAGCAGTCATAGCAAAGGAACAAAGAATGACATCAGACTTCTTATCAGAAATTTGCAAACGACAGTGAAGCGGCATCTCTAAAGTACAGGAAAAAAAAAAAAAAAGGTCTAGAATTCTTTCCCCAAATACACATATTTCAAAAACAAGACAAAATAAAGACATGTCCTGTCATATAAAAGCTGAAAGAGTTCATCACCAGCAGACACTATAAGAAATGTTCAAAGGAAATCCTTCAGGTAGAAAGAAAATGTAAGCAAATGGAAAGCTAGGTCTACACAAAGGAATTAAGATCTCAAGAACTCACATGTAGGTAAATAAAAGTTTTTCTTCTTTTAAAAACAACATAACAAGGCTCAACCCCGCCTCTAGCCCCCACCCCCACTCCATGAAGGAAGGCCAGCAGGAACTAGGGAGGGTGCCAGACTTCCAGAGACTAGCCCTGCCTCAGCTCTGACCTCAGTTCCAGAAGGGAGCCTGGACACTAGATCGGATAACTAGGACAGCAGGGTAATTAAGAAATCAGCTTCTTAAGTCCTTTTTTTTTAAACCATTGCTAGTTCATTCTTAGGAAATGGAAGGTGTGTTTGTTTTTGTTTTTCTTCTCCCAGCAATGTAGCCAGGCTCTGTGGCTTAAGTTCTGAGGTTCCCTAAGCCTTTGTGGGATGTTGAATAATTGCAATTAACAGCCTGTTGGTTATTGAAAGCCAAATGAAAAAGAGAAACTGTTGGTTGGGGCTGGTTGCCAGGAAGATGAAAGTGTCATGGGCCTTTGTTTTTTGTGTGGAATCAAGCTGGATTGTCTGAGAAGGAGGTAGAGGCCAGAAAGGCCCAGGCACTGAGAAGGGGCTCAGGGTTGAAGATTCTGATCACGGTCCCAATTTGAGATTTATCCAGGGCAAGGCCCTGGAGGCTGAAGGTGGGAGGTCTGTGAAGAATCTCCAGGCTTGGGAGCCTCAGCAAAGATCCCCCTGGCTGGTCCTGATGTGTAGGCAACGGAGCTCCATGTACCGGGCAGGGAACAATGAGGAAGGAGCCCAGCCGAAACCCAGTCAGGGCCTCTGCTTTCAGGCTTCCTGCACAACACAAGTGCCAGGGTGACGGGGAATCCCCAAAATGATCACCACTGGACTTCCAGGGACCCTTGACATGAGCAGTTTAGAGACAGATTAATTAGACATGCATTCATTCGTAACGCATAAACTGGCAGCCGATTTTGTGCCAAGCACCTTTTTTGGGCACTAGGAATACACAGATGAAGATGTCACGCGTAGATCCTGCCCTTGTGAAATTCATAGTCTAATGACCTGTGGCATGTTGGGAGAGAGACAGCTGGAAGAAAGTAATAGACAAGTAAACAAATGAAATCACAACCAATGGTGAGAAGTACAACAACAATCCAAACATCTGTCACAGAATAACAGAAGTGACCAACATTCGATAAGGTCTTGGAAGAGCT